GTGGTGCGCCCGATTCCGATTAGTCCAGCGAATATCACTGAGGAGTTCTTCCATTGTTTCCCCTTCATCAGATCGTCAACGAGAGCTTACCAGTGTTCCTAGATACGGCGGTATGTTGACATCTTTTTTTTTTCTGGGGATCGTTTTTGTGTACATATTTTTGTATTGTATTCATGATTGAACCTGTCCCGGGTAGATTGGTGGAGGCATGGCTGCGATAGTGATATCGACCGTGACCATTGGTGCGTAAGACTAAAAATCTATTGTCGGGTGTGTACGAGTCTGATTGGAGCCTACTTCTCGTTATTACTCACAGTTATATTTGGGTACGGTCTTATCTTTATTCCTGGTATGCCGTTTCTTACCTTTATTTGACAATCTTTTTTTTTCTTCTTCTAGAGAGTATGTTCTTTCTCTTATCTAGAATACCCTCGCAATGGGCTGATTCATTCCCTTTCTATTCAGAATAATTCCTCAAGCTGTCTCAGTCCGTTACGGTCTCTCAATAGGAGCAAAATGCGCCCCGCTTGTCCTCTCACTCATGTGGATACTTGCACCTGTAGCGTACCCGATCGCGAAATTACTGGATTGGGTTCTAGGTGTACATGGGACCCAGACATACAAAAAGAGAGAGTTGAAGAGTTTCTTGGGATTTCATGTGACGGGAGAGGAACCTTTGAGAGAGGAAGAGGTGAAGATTTTAGGAGGTGTGCTGGAGTTGGGAACTAAAAGGGTCGAGGGGATCATGACGAAGATCGAGGTGAGTAACTATTGCGATACTACTTTACTTTCATTCGATCTTATGGTTTCTCATTCAGGATGTGTTTACACTTAGTGCTGACGCCATTCTGGATCAAGAAATGTTGGATATGATGTATAAGGATTTTTCTATCATCGTTCAGTTCTCTCATGGCTCACGCAGTGACGCTCTTCTTCACCATCAGATCTAAAATGGGTTACTCCCGTATTCCAGTTCACCTCCCTGGAAATCCTTCAGCGTTTATTGGTTTGCTACTGGTTAAACAGGTGTGTTTCTCGACAAGTCTTATCGCATGTTATCGCTGACTTGATTTCTCGAATTAGATCTTACGTTTCGACCGTTCAGAGCTTGAAAACGTACCCGTGTCGAGTCTACCGCTGTCGGTATTACCAGAAACTTACTCAAATATCAGCTGTTGGCAAGCGTTGGATTATTTGTACGTTTCTTCAAGCTCGACTTATGATTGGCTGAGTGAATCATGATCTTTCCATGAATAGCCAAACAGGACGAGCACATCTTTTACTGATCAGCAGAACACCAGGACTAGCCGGGGGAGCGATCGGTATCATCACTCTAGAAGGTAAATTGCGTTTCTGGAGCGATTGGTGAAGGAGAAGCTGATTGAAAGGTTTACAGATATCATCGAGGTACTTGACATTGAGTCGTCGCTAGTCTAATTCCATATCTTACAGTCCTATAGGAGATTATCTCAGAGGAAATCGTTGACGAGACAGATATATACGAGGACAACGTGAGCAGAAAGACGGCACGGCGTGCTCCTTGTGCGTCGGTCCTGAGTGGGTAAGGTTTTATTTCCTTTGCCACACCTATTGTTTCAGCTTTACTTACATGTTCTATACTAATACACACACGATTATAGAACCATCATAGAACGCAGTCAGTATTCACCGACATACTCAGGGCCTCCAAGTCTTTCACGTGCATCGACAATGGTTGCGTCTCCTACGTTGTTAACGCCTAACAGAACGAATATAGATAAGTTGAATGACGAGACTCTGTTGGGCTTGGGCTTTGGGAGAAGACAGGAAAGTGAGCTGAAAAATGGTTCTTTGAATCGGAAAAGAAGGGGAGGCATGGATATGTCTGAAATAATAGATCTCCTCGGCTCGAGAAGGGAGGAGGACTTGGATAGTGGGCATTCGTCGAACTTGGAGCAAGATGCAACGGATTTTATACAGTCACATTTACAAGCAGACCCGTCTATCGGCAGAGGTTGTAATGAACGGACAAGGCTTTTGAACGAAAGGCAAGATGAATCTAACGCAAAAGGTTATTTAACGATGAGAAGGAATAGTTAATGAGGGATATTATGGGGGCTCACGATCCGGGATTCTCCTTGCATATTAGATGTCGATATATAGATAGAGGGTCTCTGTACTAGACTTGTATTTTTTTGTATTTAGGATTCGGGAAATCTAGATGTGTTTCACGGTTCGATAGCCATCTTTTCTTTTGAGTTGACTGAATATTAACACGTTCAGTCGGGCGGGTGATCTCATGAGACTAACAAACATACGGGCGTTTCGGAGAAGGCAGGGGAAAAAAGACTCCTCAATACAAGCATTTTACATGTGCTAATCTGTAACCACGCCATATCATACGATATTCGACTCCACGAATCTAATCTAAGCCCAGCACTTCCACCAAAGGCGAAAGATTTAGAAATGAGCAACAGAGGTGTACTAAGAAAACAATAAAGTACAACGTCGAACGTAACTATACCAACGTCGCAAGAATAAAGCTTGAAGTTTCTCATCTCAGGCGTATTCGTGGCCAGCATTCTGGATAGCGGGTCTTGTTGAAACGGATGTATAGATACATTCTCGACCTATGTAACCGCCAAGTAACGGTGCGTGATTTGTGGGTGGTATCTACATGAATACAAGAGTTCTGACATGAACGTGTACATGTGGCTAAACGTGACAAAAATCGTATATGAACATCTAATGTTGATTGGCTGTGGCTGATAAATAGCTACATGGGGGGAAAAAGCTTTTGTTAAACATGAAATCAGCTTATGCATGAAAAGAGTAATTGAATCAGTGTCGTCGTCACTTACAGGAGAATATCGTTCGAGAAAGGAGAACAATGAAAGAATGGATCGGTTGAATCTCGTTGAAATTAAATCCCTTTGGTCAAGTCGTCTTAAGTATTACATGTGGTGGCTGTTCCCGGTGCAATCCGGTTGACCGCTCTCGGTCCTGTCAAGGCGGCGACTCGGTAAGAGCAGACCACGGCACCTGGAGCGATCTGGTCTGGATTGTGTTTGAGTTCCTCTACGTGGTGACCGAGGAGCATTAATCCTTGCGGCCGTGGATTGTCCGGGCGGGGAGACGGAAAACAGAAAATAACCTGGGCTTGGGAGAGAGGGCATCGGACAAGGACAGCTCGTGGTTTGGCGTTCGCCCCGTGGTTCGTAAGCGTGTATGGACCGACTTGGAGGGTTCGAGTCGAGGGAGGAAGATGAAGGGTAGGGAGGTTTGGTAAACGTCGATGTCGAGACGGGGGTATGAAGAAACGGGAGTTGGGGAGTGTTACTCTGGCATAGAGAATCTGTAAAGAGAAGAAGCGAAGAGCTAAGAAGCCGTGATATAGGGAGAGCGAAGAAAATGCCACCTGTTGAAGACGTCTGGTGTAGAACGCAACAAGTTCTCTACGGCGTTCTTCGACGAGTTTGGACGTATCCTCACGGTGTAGATCTGCAGGAGTTTGAGTTACCTGCAAAAAGAAATGGGAATTGAAAACTATTAATCACTGATGACGAAAACAGAATCAGAAAGAATACCTCTCGCTGGTAGTCGTGATTTGGGTTATCAGTAGCATTATCATTGGCGTGAAAGACATCAGGACCATGAGTGCGATTGAAACTACGATGAACTGCTGAGGACGCTATAAGCTCGAGGCTCGCAACATAAGTAATATATTGTGCTTTCTTGGGCCGGGGTGCTGAGACAGTAACCATGATGACTTGGGGTATATTCTTGAGATGATTGGATAGCGTCGCAGAACAGAAGTCCAGCAGTGAGAAAGAGAGGGAATGATCTATGTGTAGGACGAGTTTAGACCTACAAAGAGAGTGGAACGTGACACAGAGAGTACAGGAGGGGGAGAAGGCGATGTTGGATTTGGTTCATGGTTGGACTGGTTTATAGGACCAAGCGGTATTGTTATGGTTAAGACCAAACCATTGTACGGATGGGACAACGAAATGCATTATTCGAGCAAATTGGGAACCGGGACAAAAGGATCCTACTCACGTGATACGAATACTTCGATCATGATCAATCGAGTCAATCATGACTAGCGTTGAGTAAAAAACTCGCTCGGAGTTTTTGACCGGTTTGAAACAGGGGGGGTCTCAAAGATGGGGGGTTTTTAACCGTTTTTAACTGTTTTTAACCTCACGTGATTCAAACACGTGATCCATTTATATTATTTTTTTGCAGCGCGGCGCGCGCCAAGTGCTCGGTGTATAGGACAGTTAAATTAGAACAACGCAGAGGCCGTTGGTCTCATCGGGTCAGCATAAGTGTGTCCATCGCATAGTGTGATCAATTTTCCTGAAGAAAGCTAATATATACAACAAAAAACTAGTCTATTTGAGCTAAGAAGGAAGAAACCCGAGAATGCGAGAAGTCGTTATTGCTCGATGAAGGAGCCAAGAAACTCGGAACAACCCGATATTGGTCTGAATTGGTCGTCCCTTCTATCTCCTTGTCCGCAAAGATTTTGACAGCGGCGTCAGGGATTGTGAGTTCGGCTGGATGACTTTTGGTCATCGTAGGTTGGTGAGGTGGTTCGAGCAGATTGGGATTGTTGAACTTCGTACTACTTAAAGTACTTTGTCATTGCTAATGGTTCAAATTCCGAATTATCCTACATTGGTGCCACCAAAATTCTTCAGCACGTGAGTGTTTGGAACACCCTCAAAAAACCCCCCTCGAGGTACCCTGTTTTTAACCGCACGTGACCTGTTTTTAACCGGTAAAAAACTTTTTTGTAAATAAGTCCGACTTTTTTACTCAACCCTAATCATGACTCTGCTCGTTTATATGGCCCAAGTTCTCTGAGGATACAACTCGATGCATAGCAACGTCTATTTATTTGGAGTGAACTGTATAAGCTTGACGATTTATCCGGTAGCCAAGAACTCCCAACTGCATAACTTTCCACTGCCACAATTTGTAGGTAAAATTACAGAATCACCCTCTATTTTCGTGGCCTGATGGTCTAGTAGTATGATTCTCGCTTTGGGTGCGAGAGGTCCGGGGTTCAATTCCCCGTCAGGCCCATTCGTATTTTAGAGTTTTCTTTTCTTTTTGATTAGTTTCACATCAATGCCAATTATCAAGTATAAGTAACCATTCAAAAACTGAACGTCGATTTGCAAAAGAGGAGTAAGTACGTTCTATCAACACGACTACACCCGACGTCCAGCTTACGGTATTTAATTGAGATAGAGCTTTGCATGACTTAATTTTCCATAAGTACGAATCTATCTTTCAAGAGCGCAGTAAAACCTCTTACTTTATCCGCCTATGTAGCTGTCAGGTTGAGTGCTATGGCTGCCGGGATCGGGTTATGGGCTTAGTATGTAAATGAAAATTCAACCGGTCAATCAGCAGCTGAAACCGATAGCCGCAGAAGAACTCGCTGAATTGCCTTCCGATTTGAAGTCACCAGAAAATATGGGGTGCCCTGCTTGCTAGTACGTGCTCGGGAGTACCGGCTAGATGTACTTAACTAGTATGTACTGAACGACATAAAAGTGAAAACGTAAAATGCTCAGGGAGGGGAAGAGGGGGCCGGACGGGGAAGTTGAGCGGACCGCTGGCCTCCGCTGATTTGGTCAGAAGAGGATTTGAATGAACAGTCAACGTTAAAATTACGAGCACGCTAGCTTTTCTTTACTTACGATGGAAGCATTTATGGGATGTACCGTGTCATGACGGACTTCTTGTCCTGTTGCTTCCGCGAGGGAAAGCGGACGAAATAGAAGAATCTGCACAGAAGCCACGTTCAAGACGGTGAACAGCTTTTGAAGTTCAGTTACAACTATGTATAAACCAGCTTTGTCCCACTGGTGATGTATACACGAGAAGCGGAACCGGCTAATCACCCTTGGCATAGAGGTTTTTCGGTCAGAACAGCTTCCCACGGTGATACAAGTGAATCAGAATAGTTTGCAAAATTGACCGGGAAGTCATCGACACTCGATGCCGGGCCTTAATCAGTGGGATCTTGAGACACACGCTGGTAGCAATAGAGGGAGCAAGGGAAAGAGAGTTACACAACTTGGATGTAGGGTGTAAAAATCGTTTGGGATCGTACAAGCTGAAAGCCCGAGATCGTCATCAAGCTAGGGAAACATGATCGTCAATTCAGACTAGACAATTAACAAGTGGTTACCTGAGTTTCAAGAGGTCTTTATGTCCTTGCTGTCGAACGTTGACTATCTGTGTTCTTCACGCCTGGAAAACTCCCGGTTACACCACCCGCTAGATTGTCATTGGAAACGTGAAGCTACCTTTATTCAGGGTTTGAAGAGAACGCTACATCCCCGGGAGGTCTTCGGCTTCAGGACCAGCTGTAAAGACAGTCTGACCCTTGATTGCAGGGCTATACGGTTCCCTTAATTATCACATACCTAGCATTCACTTTGAACTTGAAAGAATCCGTTGCTCTCGGTTTTATTGCGATTCGTTGAAAAATGGGTTGTCACTCCTAGTACGCTGGTTATGAAGAAGTTGTACGTGCCGACCACATCAAGTAAGTAAGTGGGATATATCCCTGTATGTCGAAGACCTTGGAGTGATCCGTCAAATTCGGTTTTTTCGACCGTTCTAGGTCCTGAGTGGGAAAGAAGACAGGAAGAAAGGGAAGAGAAGCAGGTGCAAGTCTTCGTCCATGTGGAAGGAGGCAATTAGATTGACGGCAGAACGGGATTGGTTATTGGTTATTGGCTTCAGCTGTAGAATCAACTTAGTAATAATAGTTAGAGAAAAGCCCCAACTTGGTCAAGATTTTGGGCAAGACCTTCGATCTTGTCAAAAAGTACTGTCTGAAGAGAACGAGATTAGCCTGTTCAGGATAATCAGTAGCTTTCAGAAAACTAGAGATAAACCATAAAAAGGAGGTCACCTTTTCTGCACGACAGAATTTTTCAACTTTTCGGTGTGCATGGAGAAATTTTTGTTCTTTTGACAGTAGATGATACGAGGTTAAATGCATGATTGCGTGGCAGTCAACAGTCATTAAGCTATAGCGCTATTCGTTCCAGTTTTTCAGACATTAGCATTATGATCCTCCGAGTCGGAGGCCGACCTGTCGGAACCGGGGTGTTGGGGAAATGGTTTAACGATAATCCTAGTCTCGAGATCCCTGACGTTGCTGAAAACTCCGTCTGAAGAGAAGAAGAGGACGAGAAGAATTCAGGAACGGTGGATGTCTCGCAGTGCTGCATATGGAGACTTCTTTTCCCAAGTCTGGTCCGAAACGGTCGACTGGGGACGAGTAAGGGTAGTCAGCAGGGTCTCCCGGCCTATATAAACGAACGGGTGCATTCGGAAACTGGACAGGCAGATCAAGATATGACGGAAGGACGGTGTTGAGCTGCTCTCATAGCTGTTCTTCAACGAACACACGCTTATTTAGACCCACGAGAAATCCTGGCAAAGCGTTTGTAGACCGGCCAAAGACCGGCAACATTCCTTCGCACTAGCCACGTGAGATTTACGTACTTTTGATCGGGAGAAAGTCCTGCACGTGGGCGAACACAGCCACATGCCACGCGGAAACCACGGTCTCTTCATTGTCCTTGTACTTTTTGCTCACCGAGATCCCACCTTCCTCACTGTCCTCAATACCGCTTTGCCTGACGACCGCGACCCCCTTCCACGACGTCTGTCCCATAGACACCCCCTCGAATGAACCGTCCCCGCAGCGCTGACATCGGCGGCCTGCTCCTCGCGACCGCTGGTAGCGGCCATGGTGGAGGCTGGCTCGGTCACGGCCAAGAGCTCGATCCACTCTCCGGGACATACTTTGCAGAGCTGCTTAGCGACATGTACAACGAGACCATGCATGCCGTCCAGGAACCCCAGGAGAGTTTGTCGTTTATCTCTGAACCGATGGAAATTCCGCGCGAAATGAGAGAAAAGCTTGTTCAAGCTCTCGATGAGTGGGAATTCGAACCCCACAAGCTGCAAGACGAAGACGAAGTGATTGGCTGTACGATGATTCTCTTCGAGGCGTTGTTTAGGATCCAGGGCATGAGAGAGGACGTCGGGATAACGCTCGGTGAGTGGTCGGTCCCCGTTGTTGTTGCTTTGGCTGTGGCTGACCACTCACTTCTGACCAGACCAAATCTATCCATTGATACACCACTTGCGACTCATTTACCGAAGAGAGACTTCCTATCACAACTTTGAACATGCCCTCGACGTACTCCAGGCCTCATACATCTTCTTACGACAAGCGGGCATAGTCCCAAGCGTGCGTATCGTGTTGGAGGACGACCAGACCCAGCTTTGGAGGCGGGAGCAGAGAACCGGCCTCATTAGCTGCTTACAGAACTCGGACATTTTCGTGCTTTATATCGCAGCGATTGGGCACGATGTTGCACATCCCGGAATCACCAATGGATTCATGGTAAGTAACTACTGAGTCCCCAGTTCAAAGTGACGGGTTCTAATTGTTGTATCTAGAAAAATGCTTCCGCCCCTCTTTCTCAAGTTTACGATGACAAGTCCCCTCTCGAGAATCTCCATTGCTCCGTTCTCTTGAGGGTCATGAGACATCACAAGCTGGGTAACTTGTTGGACGAGTCTCCCCTTGCGAAGCAGCAGCGCCGTCAAAGCGACTACATCAAGGATAAGCAAGACCAAGACGAAGAAAACTCGCTGGGAACACCAAACTGCGGCAAATGTACCAAGAGCATAAGGAAGCTTTTGTACGAAACGGTGTTGGCTACAGATATGAGTGTCCACCAGGGTTGGATGATAAAATTTAGAGGTATGTTGGACGACATACGAAGGAGTGGAGGTGTTGAAGAAAAAGACGAACACAAGGATGACGAAGACGAAGAGAATTGGAAAAGACGAGTGTTGACGTGCCAGGCGATCATAAAGTGTGCGGACATCAGTAATCCCGTGAGTGGCCTTTCTCGTTCTCTTTCGCGTAGTCTATGACAAGTGGCGTTCGTCCCGTTGAGAGCGTTACCTGAAGATCGCTCCCGCGAACACATTTTGGTCTCACTCCACGCATTCTTTTCCCCCATCTTGTCTTCTCTTCTCACCTATCGCCATCTTTTCCTCTCTCTCTGCTTCCTTCCTCTACCGTAAGTCTTTAGCTAATCATTTTTACTTTTTCTCCGGTGCCTCGTTTCTGCCCTTCCCACCACCTAGTCCCGACCCTTTCCAATATCCCGCCACTGGTCCACCGCTCTCATGTCTGAGTGGTCTTCCCAAGCTTCTTTGGAGCGCTGTCTGGGGCTTCCGTGTACTGTTCAAGACAAGGACGATCCTTATTCCGAAGCTAAGAGTCAGATTTTCTTTGGAGGAACATTTGTAAAACCATTATGGGAGGTGCTCATCGAAGGCATTCCTGGTGTGTACTTTTTCCACATAGCCTTTTTTACTCCTTTCGTCCTGTCTGTTTGTTATGGGCTTTCTGACAGCTGACTCTTCACCGAGCAGAGCTACAACCTTTTCTGGACCAATGCAATTCAAATCTAGCAACTTGGCATCAAAGGCAGGCCGAGTTAGAGTCGGAGGCTGCTCAAGCTGAAGTGCATACCCAAGCTTCCCCTGCGCGTTCCACCCCCAATTCCGAGATGGCAGAATTAGATGTCGGGAGTCTTTCTGGGGCTAACTCAGCTACGCAGGCAGATGTTGCTGTCGACTCAAATTCGAACTCCCAACAATCCTCATCAGTCTCCACATCTACCCATCCATCTTCTCTGCCATCAACGATTCCGCTACCACCGCCGTCTTCATCAGCATCCAACTCCACCTCTTCGTCCTCCTCGTCCTTTGATGATAGCTTTACTTCCGCTTCCATCTTTTCCCCATTATCGAGGTCAACGAAAATAGATGATTATGCTACTGCATTTCCATTGGCTTTGCCTAGGAGTGCCTGCTCTTTGGGCATCGGAAATAGTGAATACTTCTCCAGGTATCATGGGTGGTGTCGGTCGGAGAGCGGGGAAAATGGATCGGAGATGGAGGAGACTTTACAAGAGACGGGAATAGAGCTGGGTAGTGGTGGCGGTGGTGGCGGCGACGACAACAT